TAGTTTAAACTCTTCAAATAAAATACACAGATTGGTAGATCCAAACGCCAGGAAAGTTGGCTGTTGTCAAATCAGACTAGTAGACTACAAGTCACAATTAATCGGAAAAGTCAAAGACATGCAGAATCAAAGAGATGGTTAAGAAAATCATCCAACAACAAGATACAATGATTATAAATATTTATGTCCCAAACAACAGTGTTTCTACTTACTAAAACAAACTCTTCTAAAAATTAACAATTAAAAAAAAAACAATACAAAAATACTAGGTGATTTCAATACACTTCTCTATTAGCTAGATTATCCAGATAAGTAAAGATTCTTCAGAACTAAAAAATGTTATGAATTAGTATACCTAGTTGACATCTAAACAATATTTCATCCATTTACAACATGACTCACTTTCTTCTCAGTGGCACACAGAATATTTTTTGAAAAAGATCATATTTTAGGTCACAAAGCAAATATTCACACACACAACAACAACAAAAACCCATAATTCCTTGCATTCTATCAGATCATAAAACAATGAAACTAGAAATCAACAAGAGAATAAAAACAAAACAGCAACAATTCTAACCTAGCAATGAAATAATAACCTTTGAATGTTGAATGGATACCAGAAAAAAATCAGAGGAGACATAAAAAAAATTCTTAGACACAAATTAGAACAATCATAAAACATGTCAAAAATCTCTGGAAGAGTGTGAAGGTAGTTATAACAGGAAAGTTTATAGCACTGAGTTCGTATAAAAACAAAACAAAACAAGAAATGTAAAAAATAAATAATCAAATGTCACACCTTACAGCCCTAGAAAAAGGAGAGCATATTAACACTAAAATCAGTAGAAGATAGAAAATAATTAAAATCAGAACAAGGGCTGGGTATGGTGGTACACAAAGATACTCAGAAGGCTGAGGCAGAAGGATCACAAGTCCAAAGCCAGCCTCAGAAATTTAGCAAGGCCCTATCTCAGAAATTAAAAAGAAAAAAAATTTAAAAATGGGTTGGAGATGTGGTGTAGTGATAAGTGGTGCTGAGTTCAATCCCCAGTACAGGGGGACAAACAAAATCAGAGCCAAAGACAATGAAATTGAGAATAAAGCAAAATAAAACAAGAAGCACAAAGGACCAATGAAACGAAGTTGATTCTTTGAAAGAAAAAGAAAATTGATAAGCCCTTAACCAAACTAATCAAAGGAACGAGAGAAGACCCAAGTTAATAAAATTAGAGAAGAAAAGGCAAATATTACCATAGACACTACTGAAATCAAGAGATTCACTAGAAATTCATTTGAAAACTTAAATCCAATAAGCTAAAAAATCTCAAGTAATGAAACTGAAGCAGCTACAAAAAACCTTTACAAAGAAAAGCCCAGGGCTGAACAAGTTCTACTAAACCTTTTAAAGAAATAAATGCCACCAATTCTTCTCAAACTATCCCATGAAATAGCAAAGAATTTATTTAACACTGACAAATTTATCCTATGAAGCCAGTGTAACCCTGATATCAAAACCAGAAAAGGCACAAAAAAGAAAAGAAAATTTCAGACCACTGTCAATATATGAAAAATTCTTTCATAAACACATTAAGAATATGGTGTACTATGCCTAACTGGGTTTCATCCTTAGGATGAAAGTATGGCTCAACATGTCAAATCAATAAATGTAATTCACCACAGAAATAGAGTTAAGGACAAGAATCACGTGTTTATCTCAGTACATGAAGAAAAACCATTTGACAAAGTACACCGCTCATTCATATTAAATCACTAAAGAAACTAGGCATGAAGGAACTTACCTTACTTAACATTGTAAAGACTATATAAGACAAACCCAATGTCAATATCATATTAAATGGAGAAATACTGAATGCATTTCCTCCAACAACAGGAATAAATCAATGATGTCCACTCTCATCACTCCTTTCAACATAGTTCTTAAAGATTCTAGCCAGAGCAATCAAGACAATAGAAGGAAATTAAACAGATACAAATATTAAAAGACAAAGTCAAATGATGTGTTTGTTCATGGATCCTATATTTAGAAGATCCAAAAAACTCCACCAAAAGACTTCTAAAACTGATAAACAAATTTAGTAAAGTATCAATACACAATATCAGCCTACTAAAGCAACCATTTTCCTGTACTTCACTAATGAATCTGCTGAAAATAAATTAGGAAAACTATGCAATATAAAAGAACTTCTAAACAACAACAAAAATACTTGGATATTAAACTTAATAAAAATTACACAATACTGAAAAAACAAATTGAAGAAGACCTTAGAAGAAATGAAGACCTTCCATGTTCACAGATAGCATCATTCACCTTATTCTGGATAGCTTTGGCTATTCTGAGTCTCTTAGAATTCTCTTACAATTCTTAGTGTCAAAATGGCTGTTCTACTAAAAGCATTATCCAGATTTGATACAATCTCTATCAAAACCCAATAACATTCTTCACAGAACTAGAAAAAATAGTTCTAAAATTCATTTGGAAAAAGTAAGAAACTCAGGGTTGAGATTGTGGCTCAGTGGTACAGCGCTCACCTAGCATGCATGAGGCACTGGGTTGGATCCTCAGCACCACATAAAGATAAAATTAAGTCCACCTACAATTAAAAAAAAAAAAAGTAAGAGACTCAGAATAGCCAAAGCTATCCAGAGTAAGATGAATGATGCTGAAGTCATCAAAATATGGTGCTGAGAAAACGGGAAATCCGTATGTCAAAGAATAACACTTGACCACTGTCTCTCTCACAAAAACCTAGTCAAAGTGAATCAAAGACCTAGGAATTAGACAAAAAACTCTGCAGCTGTTAAAAGAAAATGTAGACCCAAACTCCAACATATGCACAGGCATCAACCTCCTTAATCGAAATTTCTTAAGTGGAAGAAATAAAATAAAAAATAAATACATGAAATTAAAAAGCTTTTGCATAACAAAGGAAATAAGAATATAAAGAGAGATGGGGCTGGGGTTGTGGCTCACTCAGCAGTAGAACGCTTGCTTAGCACGTGCAAAGCCCTGTGGTCCTGCGCACCACATAAAAATAAATAAATATATTGTGTCCAACTAAAAAATAAATATAAAAAAAAAAGAATATAAAGAGAGAGGCTAAAGAATGGGAGATCTTTGCCACCTGCTTTCAATAGGGAATTAATATCCAAAATACCATAAAAAAACTCAACAAAATAAATGGCCAATCAATAAAAAGGAAAAAGAAACAGACACTTACTAAAAAAAAAAAAAAATACAAATAGCCAATAAATATATGAAAAATGTTCAACTCTAGCAAAAAAAAAATGCAAATAGAAACAACACAAAAATTTCATCTTCTAGTCAGAATGACAATTTCAAGAATACAAACAGTAATGTTGATAAGGATATGGAGAAAAAGGTTTACTCATATTGTTGGTGGAATTGCAAATAAGTTTATCCATCTGGAAAGCAGCATGAAGATTCCTCAAAAAATTAAGAATGGAACCATCATATGACCCAGCTATCTTGCTCATTGGTATTTATTCAAAAAATCTAAAATCAGCATGCTATTGATGCAGCTTTATCAATGTTTATAGAAGCACAATTAACAACAGCAATCTAGGTGAATGAATGAAGAATATATAATATGTATACAGATTGAGAATTAATCAGCCATAAAAAATGAAATTATGGCATTTCATCAAATGGATAGAACAGGAGACCATTGTGCTAAGTGAAATAAGCCACACACACAAGAAGTTAAAGGCTGAATGTTTCCTCTGATATGCAGAATTTAGTCCAAAGTAAGGAAAAAAGGAAAGAACAAAACAGAAAAGGAAAGTAGGGGATCCATTAAAATAGAAGAAAGATCAGTAGAGTAATTGAAGGAGATTAAAGGAAAGAGAACAGGGGGAGGAATAAAGGGGAGAAAGAAAAAATATTGGGATTGAATAATTATGTAAAAATGAATCCTAATGTTATATATAACTAAAAGAACTACTGAAGAAATCGAGGTCTGGAGTAGCTCAGTGCTACTGGGGTTAAACAAATTTTTTATATATATATATATATATATTTTTGAAAAACCTTGTTTTGTCTTTTCATATTGGCCTTTCTCTATAAAATGGAAACCTGTATATTTTTCTACCTGTCCCAAATATGAGAAGAAAATGAACAAATTAAAATAAGACCAGGAAGAAACAGAACTATCTACATCAATTAGGAATACCAACTGGCAAAGTAATGGTACACATTTCAAAGTAGGAAGTATCTTCGCATACACATACCAATATACATACCTACTGTATATATAGAGCATGAAAAAAGTTAAGATGCTCTATTTCTGATTATATTTTTATTTAGTCACTCTGTCTTTCCTTTATAAATCATATAAAAAAGGTAAGAACATAGGGAAGATGTTCTTCCTGGAACTTCTGAATATTCTGACACATGAATTCTGAATAATTAGTTTCATAGCACTAGTAAAAAAATGCTCAATAAAAAATTGTTTTTACAAGGATGACAAAATTATGAATGAAATTATAAATAAATGATGGATGAAATTCACATGAAAATGAATGAAACTGAACTTAAACCTAATATCATGTGGTAAATTCAACTCAAAATATATCAATAACCTAAATATAAAAAGATGTAACAAGAAAACTCTTAAAAGAAAAACATTGCTAAATCTGCAAGAGCATGTATTATGCATATACTTTTAGTGATGGTAAAAAAAGAACAACAATCCCAGAAAGACAAATAAATTAGACACTAACAAAATTAAAACTTATACTTCAATGAACATCATAAAAAAATGGAAAAGTAACTTGTAACAGAAAAAAATGTACTTTAAATACTTGTCAATGAATTGTAATAAGAGTATACCGAAAGACCATTACCAATCAATAGCAAAAGACAAACAGCCAATTAAACGATGGATAAAGAAATAGAACATATACTTCAACAAAGATGTTATAAGGACAATAGAGCCATGAAAAAAAATCTTAATAAACAGCATTTATTTCCTATTTGCAAATACAAATCAAAATTGTAAGAGCTATTACTTCACAAATACTTCAGTGGCTAAAATCAAAAGGTAATACACAGGTGATAGAAAGGATGAAAAAATGGACACTTATAAACTAAGACTAGAAATAAAAAATGATGCAGCCATTTTTAAAAGCAAATTAGCAGTTTCTTAAAGTGATCAACACCGGGTTTCCACATCATCTAGCAATTCTACCACATGATTACCTAAGAGCACCAAAAATAGAATTCCCACACTAATACCTGTATGAATAATAAGAACAATATTATTAACAATAGTTACAAAGCAAATGCAACTGAATCCTGTCAACTGATTGAAGACAACTCTCCAAAAAAGTGAAATATATGGAATATATATTTAGTAATGGAATAATATTTAGTAATAAAAAAGAAATAAATTCTTGTTACATGATATAAATAAACATTGAAAATCTTAGGTTAATAATAATAATAAAAAAAGACACTGGTTATGACACACATTATAGCACACATTTACATTAATACTCAAATTAGGCAAATCTATAAATACAGAAAGAACAAGATACTTTCTTAAGACTATAGAAGTTTAGGACAATGTAACACTGAAAATAGGTATAGGGTTTTATTTGAACCTAACAGAATGTTCTAACAATAATTATATTGACGGCTGTACAACTATGAATATATTTGATCTGTATATTTTAAATTGATCTATTAGGATCAGGATGTATGTATAGCATTTGCCTAGCATTTAAGAGATATTAGGGCTGGGATATAGCCCAATGGCAAAGTATCTGCCTTGCATTTGCAAATCTCTTGGTTCGACCCTCAGTTCTAAAAACAAACAAACAAACAAAAAAACAAACAAACAAAACAACAACAAGAGATCCTAAGTTCCAGTATTATGGAATAAAACAAAACTAAACTGGTGAATTTTATGCTGTGTAAATTATCTCAATAAAGCAATAAAACAGAAACCTGCAACTGGTGACATAGTGAAAATGGTAATAAGAGAGATTTTAAGGCCATGTTATTTTCTCATGGAAAAAAGTCTTAAAACTAGCATGAAAGAAGTTTAGGATCTGTGGAAAACAGTCACACATCTACATAAAAAAAAGCAAACAATCAAGACAAAGCCATGCTAAAATCATAAAGAAATCCTATGGTGTCTTTACTTGTTCTTATCCTACTCCTGGTCAGGCATATGAATAACAGTGCTGCTCTAGAGGTTTTGACAACTTAGTTCAATTATCTGCCCCACAAACCAGAAATAGAAGAGTCTATGTGCACAATTCTAACCCATTTAGAAATAGTTTAAAAGACTGGGATAGTTTTTGCCTGCTATTAAAAATTTTTTAAAAATTAAAGAGGAGAAAACAATTTCCAATTAATCCTATGAGGCAGATTTACACTAGAGAGATAAAGACACTAGAAAACTATACAGCAATGTTTATTAATTTATTAATACAAATATTAGTAAATTGAATTTAGCAACACATCAAAAAAGATTATATGCCATGCTCCAAATTATTTTTTCCTGAAAATCAAGGATGATAAAATCAATAAATGATACTAAGAAAACTGGCTTTCAACATGCAGAAGAATGAAGCACAGCTCTTATTTTAGAACACACAGGAAGATTAACTCAAAATATATCATGTGCCATATATATTGTTAGAACATTCTGTTAGGTTCAAATAAAACCCTATACCTATTTTCAGTGTTACAAACTGTAAGAAGAAAATAGTGGAAAAGCTCTGTGATATGAATTTGGCAATGATGCTTAGACTTCAAAGCACAGAAAATAAAAGAAAAGATAAATAAATTAAACACCACCAAAAATTTAAAATATGTGCATCAAAAAGCACTACCAAAAAGTGAAATGGCCAACAAAATGGAAGAAAATAATTTCAAAATCATATCTTACACAGAATAATATTCATATTCTATAAAAACTTCTAAACTGGGGTTGTGGCTCAGGGGTAGAGCGTTCGTCTAGCACATGCGAAGCCCTGGGTTCAATCCTCAGCACCACATAAAAATAAATAAAATAAAGGTATTGTGTCCAACTACAACTAAATAATAATTAAAAATAAAATCCAAATAACCTCTAAACTCAACAATAAAATAACAGATAATCAGGCTGAAAATAAATATACAAATTTCTCCAAAGAAGATATCCGGTAGCCAATGCAATAAAAGACCTCAATACTACAAATAATGAAGGAAATTTAATTTAAAGCCATGAGATGATGGCGAGAGTGTTCGCGCGCGCGTGTGTGTGTACACAAAATGAAACATTTCTTCATTGGTTGAGTGAACATTGGAGCTGCCTCCAAATTTTCTTCACATTATTATTATCATTCTCCCAACTATAATGTACGCTTAGTTTATAATTTTAAATGAAAATATTCAAAACTCAAAACAGATACTAGATAATAATTTTTTCTATGTATACATGTATTATTAACCATAACCTCGCTTAAATTTTAGTTTAATAAGGTTTAAGTTATAAGTATTTATAAAATACAATAGTAAATACCAAGTAGTTACAAAAGTAATGTGCTCTATAAAATGGAGGGAGTAAAACCAAACAAACTTACTCTCAATGATTCCTGGAAGGAAGAGGCCTGGTACTGTGCATACTTAGCAATTGTGGTATGTGATCTATTACTTTCGTAACGCCAAATTTTCTTTGTACCAGTTGGGTCCCAGTTTTCATCTGCTGGTTGCAACAACTGTGTCCTCACTTCTACCATGTGTTCATTATTAGCTTCTACCAAAGTTTTGGTAGAGAAAAGTCCAAGATCTTCATAAAAAATAAGTTTTGTTAGTGAATAAAATCATTTTCAGTACAATAAAAAATTCGAAGTCCTTTAAAATTTTATCTTTGTGTAGTTCCATTAGTTTTCCTTAAGAAAAGTCATTTGGTACCAGATTTTCACAGTAGAACCTGGATATAACTATCAGTTTAACAAATGAGTTATGGTGTTTATAAGCAGAATTAAATGCTCTGTATATTTCATATAAAAATTTATATAATAAAATTAATTTTTTGTTTCATAACTGATACTCAATTTAAACTTCACTGCAGAAATTGCCAATAACCAATATCACTAACATTATACATTTAAAATATGTATGCCCAAATTCCACACAGACAGACTTTCTTAAAACAAATATGATTGTTTTAAAAACTATCAAAATTTTAATAAGACAGAGCAGGAAAGATAAAGAAAGAGACAAGATTGGAAGAGAGAGAAACAGAGATAAATAAAAACAGTGACAGAATTAAAATAAAAATTCAAAATGGTAAAAACAAATCAGCAAGTGTTTACTGGTGCTTCTATTTGTATTCTTAATTGAAACAGTTCTTGTTCAACTTTTTTTTTTTTTTTTTTTTAAATGCTTACCTAACTTAAGAGCTCCAGCGAGGCCTCGTATTACTGTTACAGGGTTTTTTGGGTTTGTACAAAATTGATGTAATGGAGGAAAGAAAGCATCGCGCTTATTTTCCAACTATAAAATTAAAATGTATTGTTAGGTCTCAGGAAAATGACTATTATTCTGCAAATTCATGTCATTTTTCAACCAACTCAACAGTTTATAAAGTCTAGACTACATACTAGTCTTTTCAAAAAACTGTGGAAACAACTCCGTAAATTTCTATTTTAAAGAAATACATTTAAATGTTTTAATGTCCTTCACCTCTTTCATCAAAGATTCAAAAAATGACATTTAAATATTTTAGCTTTTCAAGTATTTCCCAAGTATACTTTCCAAGTGTACTTCCATTACTTAGAGAAATAAAAAGAATACAAATCTTTTTGTATTCATTTCTTCAAAATTTGATGAAAACATCATCTCGTCTCTATTTCTATCCTTCTCTAAAAGTTATCTAATTTTAATTGGGTAAGGAATTAAGATAATATCTGATAGAGAAAAAGCTAAATCTCACAAATCCACTTATAAAGTTCATTCTAAAGCCTGTATCTTCACTTCTTAGCCTAGGATTTTTTTTTCTTTTTTGACTAGGAAGGTTAATGAAACAATGAAAGGCACAAAGTCATCAGGAGAAAAACACAAATATTGTCTGAATTTTTATTATCTGAATTTCAATTCAACTTTCTGTATCAAATACTTACACTGATGACATTCAAAAATGGTAGGTAGTTTCAAATTCAAAATTTGAAATACCTATTATATTTTGGTAGACTTTATAATAACATTCCTTATCATTTTCATTCTCAACTACCATTTTTGGAAGTACAAAAATTCTTTGATTAAAAAGGCATAAACTGAATGAATTTTTAAGGTTTACACAATTAGTAAGTCATGCAATGCAGATTTAAAAACATATTTACTAAATGCTTAAACTGAAACAACATCTTTGGAGGTTCTCAAAATCCCAGTTAATATATGAAAATAGATTTTAAAATTTTTCTTCACACAATATATATATTTTTTTAATTTTATTTATTTTTTAGTTCTTGGTGGACAAGACAGACATCCTTGTTTGTATGTGGTGCTGAGGATTGAACCCGGGCCGCACGCATGCCAGGCGAGCGCGCTACCGCTTGAGCCACATCCCCAGCCCATAAAATATTTTTTAATATACCAATGATCAACAAACTTCTTTGCCAGATACAAGAAAGTTTTTTTTGTTTTTTTTTTTTTTTTACTTTTGAACTACCTTTTTCCTTCAGCAAGTAACATTGAAGGCAGAATGTAAAGAAATTGATGAGGCTGTTTCAATAAAACTTTATATTTATCAAGGAAAAAAAAGGAGTGTACCATATGTAGATGAAGAACACTTTTTTATCATCCTTTGGAAAATAAGTATATTTTTAAAATATTCAGACTGTGAAAATAAATTTAATGTTTCCTAAAAGGCATCTGAATTGATTTAAACATTTATCTATCCTCTAAAGGCAGACAAGTTCAGACACTTGATTTATTTATAGTTAATCAGTTGAGACTCACATAAATACTAGGTGTGGGTGGATTCAACTTCTCCTTTGGTAAGGGAGGATACGGTGAAGCTGGTGGTCGTGGAGGTGGACATTTATCCAACAAAATGTGACTATTAGACAAGCCATTTTTCCCTAGATTCCTTTAAAAAAAGCAAAAGAAATAAATCAGCATTATACTTACTTTCAAAATAGAAAAAAACCTGCATTAAGTTAGATATAAAAAATACAATCATTCTGAAGCAGGTTGAGTCAATAAAAAACTCGAGAATGGCTGTTAATTTCAGTAGATGTTCAGTTAGATTCTTTAACTACACAAAATATTCACTTTGATTCCGTTTATCTTTTATTTAAAATATACTATAAACCTCACAAATATTTTTCAATATAATTTTTAAATTTATCTATTATAATTAATTTTTAAATTTATTATCTTAATTTTTCTAACTCATTTTATGGTCAAATTCTCTCCATTAAATATTAAAACACTTGTCCAAAAGGTTTAGATATCAGTAATAATGACAACAGATAATTTTTTAACAACACATTTCACTAATTATTTCCAAAATATCTTTGTGACAACTTCTAAACCCAGCAATTCACTAGTTCTTTCTTTTCAAAACTTATTTTCTATGTATTAGCTGGCTAATATATTCAGCATGGTTCCAAAATTTATAAATTACAATAATTTTTAAGAAGATATAAAAATACGCTACTCATCCTCATATTATATCTGGTTATTACTTAATGGTATCTGAATAATTTCTTCCTTTACTGAAAAGTATCACATTTACTAAATAACAAATTCATAAAATGTGATAAGAATCACTATCAAACTCAAATTCTTCTTAAGGTATAAGCAATGTAAGAAGAATATTTCTAAATACTTAATATTTTTTAAAATTTATTTTTTAGTTGTAGATGGTCAGAATATATTTATTTATTTTATTTATTTGTTTTTAATGCGGCGCTGGGGATCAAACCCAGTGCTGTACACATGCTAGGCAAGTACTCATTACTACAAGCACAACCCCTAAAGCCTTAACATTTTAACAAATTCAGAAAACCAGCCTTTCAAATGATTCAAAATGCCTTACCTAATTATTAAAATTTTAGAAGAAACAACATGTTAAAACATCAAAGGAAAAGAGCTTTAAGATACTAAGATTTCAGACAAGAAAAGAATCTTTATTTTGAAAAGTAAAAAAAAAAAAAACCACTAATTGCATTTGCTTCTGAAGAAATTATGTCTTTCATTTCAATTTATAGAACAATAAAATTTTGAAGAAAATTTATCACTGCTTTGTTGTATTTTCTGCACAGAAAAATTCCTCTAAGATTTTTGATATTGGGCTAATAAAAGTAGGGCTTGAAATGTTCTATTATGGACTATTTAATATTATACCTTTTGAGGTATAATATTAAATAGTTCATAAAAGGTACAACATTTCTTAACACAACCTAGCTACAACCCCAGCTCCCAAATAACTTTTAAAAAACAGAAAATACTTTATCTACAGGACAATTCAAATATCGTTATTAGGACAGTTTCATGACAATAATAGTCTCTATACAATAAAATATGGCCTTCAATGCTGAACTATACGTCAGCTACTCTTTTTTTAAAAAAAATTTTAAATTTATATTATTATTTTAATATTAGTTGTAACTGGACACAATACCTTTGTTTTATTTATTTATTTTTATATGGTGCTGAGGATTGAACCCAGTGCCTTGCATGTGCTAGGGGAGTGCTCTACTGCTGAGCCACAACCCCAGCCTCTACTTTTTATATAACTGCACTTGCTAGAAGGAAAAAATAATATATAAAATCATGCATTTCAGTCAATGATAAACTACATACTTCATTATACTTCCTAGAGAAGTCATTGTCATCTTAGTTTCTGTACATTCAACTCTATTCTCACAACAATCACCTAATAATTGTTTGACATATGATTAATAATATTTTGAGATGTCTCAAAATATGAGTCAAGTATTTAATTGTACTAGAAAAGTTTCTTAACCTAATTTATTTTGAGACCAAGTTAAGCTTATTTAATACCTCAATATGAATAAGAGCTTAGGAAATAATGACTTTAGAACTGTATTTCTACAGTTATATAACAGAATTTTAAAAATGAATTTACTTTTATAGGAAAGTAAAGTAATGGGAAAATGTAGATACTCATTTCAAAAAAGAAAGATTGTATTAGAAAAAATGACCCACAACCGAATCAATTACTTGAATTATTACAAATTACAATAATAAATCTTAAAAGAAACAGACTTCTATGTTGCTACCAAGATGAATAAACAAGACAGATTTAAAATAAATTAAACAAAAATTCTGTATACGTAAAGAGTCAGGAGTTTGAGACCAGCTTTGGAACCAAAAACAGACCCCATTGCAAAAGAAAAGAAAAACTGACTAGGAATACAAAATTAAAGGATTATCTGCATAAACGGTGCAAACAATCACATCTAATAATTCTTATTTATTAGGACAGATCTAAAGAAGATATTTATGTCACTAATTGTACAAGTTTTTTCCTGTTAAAATATATATTCCCCAATCCTAATGCAAGTGGATAGGCCTGCAGACAACAAAAAGAATTATCTTCCCATTATATGTGCACTAAATTGTTCAAGAGATATAATTAGACCTTACTACAAGAGTCCAATAGTCGAATAATGAAGCAGCAGAAAAGGTAGCTATGGGAAAGATTAAGTTTACTCCATTCTAATAGCTTTTTGACTCAGGAAGTTGCTTATTGCAGAAATCTATAAATATGTAAAACTGCTTTTTAAAATAGTTAATTTTAAAATATCTAACTTCAATTTTCATTTACATTTTCTTGTTGTTTACTACAGAAATAAAAGATACTCTTTAGATAAATTCATCAATGATTTAGTCATCTTTCTTATCAAAATTTCTTTATCAGGAAAATTAACATTCTTAAAAGATGTTCCTTTCCATTTTCTGGGTTCACAAACTTCCTCAGAACAGGTACCACTATCAACTCTTCTAATTGGTTCTCATAGAACAACTAGATGGAAGATTGTTATTTACCACTTAGTTACTACTTGGGCTAAGAATAATTTTATCCCTAGTTTTCAGATTTCAACTCCCCATTCCTCTTTGCCCCTCCACTTCTGCCTTTTCCTTTTTAAAAATTAATTCTTTAATCCTCAGAAAAAGGTAATCACATTGAAGCTGATGACTTTGATAATCAATAAAAGTCAGTAATACTAACCAAACACATAATCTCTCAAGTAATGCTTTATAAATATATGCTTCTGACATCTGGTAAAGTATAAAATAACAATGTTACTTATGAAATTATTATTTTAGATATGTAATATGATTTTTTGCTACACTTCAAAAAAACAAAATTCTATTTTCATTTTTTTAAGATAAAAATCAAGACTTTTGAGCTGCCAACAGTCAGCCATTTTCACTTTTTTTGTTAAATATTAATTTTTTTGGTTATAAATAAAAATGTATTTTATTTTATATGGTGCAGAGAATTGAACCCACTGCCTCATGAATGCTAGGTAAGTGCTCTATCTCTTAAACCCCAACTCCCATTTTCACTTTTTGATGAACTTTCCCACACTAACCTGCATGCCTTTAGAACTTCTGTTGAACTGGAGTATATGGATACAGACATTGATGGTATAATCTGAGGATCAGATTTGAGGTTAATTATAGGCAGATCTATTTTTGTAGAGCTCTGTGAATTCTCTAGCCCTTCTCCATTAATCGTGTGTAACCCACAGTGAGGACTATTAAGGCTGGTAACACTGTGTGTGCTAGTCGGCTCAGTCGACTTTGGAGATGGTGTAGCTGTGGAAATGGCTGAAGAAGGTGAAGAGGCAACAGAATTATCAGTCTTTGTATGAATAGCTGGATGAGTATTATTGACTTTTTCACAAGTTCCAGGGCCCACACTGTCATTGGTTTTTCCAATTAACAAGGCAGAAAGCTGAGGATTGTCCGAAATTATTAAATTTGGTGATATAGAATCTCCATGGTTAAGACTGGAAATAGAAATTGTTGTCGCCTGATGTACATGATTAGAAAGTTCCTTGACACCAGCATAGCTATTAGATGTATCTCCATCTTGCCTCCTTGTTTCAGACCCCAAGGATCTATTTCTTGAAGGTTTGCTCTCTTTGGTAAAGGTAATACCTTTTTGTCCACCTGAGGTAGCAATATGAGAGGAGAAGTGATTGAGAGTATCCCCCTGTAGTACTGAATTTCTAGGCAGAGTGTGAGGTCCATTTTGATTTTGACTACTAGTGCAAGCTGCCTGGAGATACTGAGTAGACCCAGTAGGAAAGAGAGGTTGTTCATCATTAGATCCTGCCAAATGTGAACTCTGACCTTTATGAAGCCCCTAAAAAAAAAAAAAAAAAAAAAAAAAAAGGAAAGGAAAGAAGTAAAATTGGTTTAAATATTAAATTATGCAAAGCTCCAAATACATATACAGAACAACAATGAGGATTAAAAATTTAAAAATAAAGTCACCAAAAATAAATAACTAAATGTGGAATGTAATTTAAAATCAAAACCTAAATCAATAATTTAACTCCAAAATAAAGTGATGAGTAATTTCAGAGTAAAATGATCTAATTGGGATACTTAATTTAATTCCATTTATTATAGCAAAAGAAATTTTTCTCACATATAAGTTGAGAATGTTAAATGGTTCCATTCTGACATTTGTATTTTCATCTCAAGAAAAATATGTCTCTATATTTAGATTTAAGTGGAGAAAGTTATTCATGGCCATTAACCTAGTCATGAACACAAAAGATAAGTCAATGTGATTTACAGTAAGTTTAATATACAAATTATACTTATTAAACTTTTAAAATTATCAGCAAAGTTGTAATATAGATATGGCAATAATCCTCAAAAGCAAAAATGCTAAATCTCAGAATATATTTAGTAATAACTTATTTAAGAATTTCTACTCTCAAATCACCCAAACAGGTAAAGACATTCTAAATGCAATGTCCCCAACTAATGATCGGATAATAGTTCTTTTCTTAAATTCAAAAGTTAGAATATACTAAAACTGTTCAGTAATTTTTAAAAAGCAGTCTTATAAATAATAATATTGTGTTTTAGATGAAGAGAAGTTATTTCATAGACTGAAAATATAAATCAATTAAGCAATTTTTATCCAAAATTTTCCTGATGTTGTAAACTGCATTATGATAATTCATATTTAATTCCAAAATAACTAATAAATTAATTTCTCAGGAATACTTCCTAAATAAGGGAATACTGCAACCGTAATCTAATAATTTCCCCAAATACTACTGATATACAAAAACTATTGGGGTAAAACTGTAATTACATATTAACATATTCTTTTTTAAAAAAATATTTTTTAGTTGTCAATGAACCTTATTGATTTATTTACTTACTTTTTATTTATCTGTGGTTCTGAGGATCAAGCCCAGAGCCTCACACACGTCACACAACTGTTCTACTACTGAGCCACAACCCCTGCCCACATATTAACACATTCTTAACTTTCAATACCAATATTTAGTGGAACTTCAGAATGGACAGAGAACACATTAGAATGATTGCTTTGTGAATTGAGAATTATTTAGAAGCAAGATAAAAGTCTTTTTGCTTTGATATAAAGGGGCAATTGTCAGAAACAAGCTTTGATTTAAAAAAAATTAAAGTCACAAGTTACACATACTCTAAAATTTGGTGGTATGCAAAACTGAAAAGATCATGAAATAACAAAATGTTTCTAATCAGAAATATATATATATATAGTACATATATACATAATTTTTAAAAACTGGATTCATGCAAAATGGCACAGAATGTCAGTGTTTAAGAAAATAAAGAAAAACCTTGGCAATAAAGAATTCTTATTAAATAAATATATTTTCAAAATTTACCAATTATCATCAAAATTTACTCTTAAACTATCAGAAGGTATAAACAATTTTATTGATTCTTCTGCTACAGAGCAAAGCATTCTGAATTACCAGTTCTTACATTTGAAGTTCACTGTGTGGTGAAAGCAAAGAGAAACTGGAGAACCTGATTGTAAGTTTGAAAGTGTTCCTTAACTCACACAAAAATCAGTAGTCATATAATAGAAACCTATTATCTATGGACACAAGTTTGGCACTAATAAATAGCTGACCTCTGAATTATGTGAAAATAAGAAGAATCCTAAGTTACCAAGCTAAAAATTAAGATTAAAAGCAGAAGATGGAGATTACATAACTCCAGAAAATAATCGATGTAAGTCATTTATAAAGAGAATGAAAACAGTTCCAAAAGTATAATATTAAAAATGCCCTACTTTTAATAAAAATTTGCCAAATGTTCAAAGAGATCATTAAAAATATATGTTTAAAGAAATCCAGGAAAAACAATTTTCAATTTAAAAAACCTCATTACTTAAAGAAGTTCATTAAACTTTCAATGGAATAAATGTAAAAGGAACTTCACCACAGTCATCATAATCAAATTATTAAAGCTATAGTACAGACAATCCAAAACAGGAAAATCATTTATCATTTTTAAAGAGAAAAGTGAAATGATTCACTAAACAGACTTAAATTATAGGAAAAATCACATAGTAAAACAAAACAAAACAAAACACAGTGGTAAGAATTCTGTGTCAAGAGGCTGGGGTTGTGAGTCAGTGGTGGGTTGCTCGCCTAGAGCGTGTGAAGCCATGGGTTTGATCCTCAGCACCACGTAAAAATAAATAAATAAAATAAAGGTATAATAAATATAATTTTTTAAAAAAGAATTCTGTGTCAAGTAAAATAATACCTCAAAAACAAACCTGAGGGCTGCAGCGCTGGGTTGCATCTTCAGTACCACATAAAAATAAATAAATAAAATACATAAAAAGAATTGTGTTTTAAAAAACAACAACAACAAAAAACAACCCTGAAGGCTGAGGTTGTGGCTCAATGGTAGAGCATTTGCCTAGGATGTGTGAGGCACTAGGTTTGATCTCAGCACCACATAAAAAAAATAAATAAGATAAAGGTGTCCAACATGTTTATCTACAACTAAAAAAGATACTAAAAACAAATAAGCAAACCTGAAACAAAGACATTCCCCCTCAAAATACTTAGTAGCACAGGTGTACACTACTAACAAAAATTATGTAGATCAGATAATAAATTAGGTCTGTAAGATTGAATGAATAGCCATGGAAATATTCAAAATGCTACAAATAGAAAAAATTATTTATCAATATATGCATATTATGTGTCTTGTTTTTATGACATAAAAATATTTAAAGGAATTATAATACTTATCAGACAAATTCAAATTTTATGCAAAATACACATGCACACGCTGTAAGTGGGGAAGGAAAAAACAAAAAATAAAAGAAAAAGGGCAGAGATTCTCAGGCTGATTAAAAACACCAAAGCCAAACAAAATCATTTTGCATAACAATGGGGATATATTTACAGACAATTTTGTTGGTAAATATCAACAAAGTGCATTTTTTACAAACTGCTACATTTGTATCACTAGATAAAATAATTTCATGATTACCATCTTATATGCAGTTCATAGTTGATTGAAACATCATTATGCAGTATAAGACACAACATGCTGTATATAAAATATTCTTTTTCTTCAAATACAGAGATATATTCAAAATAAAGGAGTGATGAATGAACATAACGAAAACAGTAACTACAGGAGTTGGAAAGGAGATATTAGTACAAAGAACACTTTAAAGAAAGAATTAACTAATAAAAAGTATAAAATTTCACAATGGTAAGTCAATATTATGTAATTTAAAATAACTTACTAAATATAGATCTAAAAGTATATGAAGAAAACCATAATAAATGTGAAAAACACTATATAATTCAACATTAAGAGCTGGAGATTTCAATAGCTTATTATCCTTAGTTGATAAAGCAGATAATCAAGAAATATGAATCCAAGACTTTAGCAATAGTATCAACTCTTTTAATCTGTCATGTAAAAAATGTTTCATTTGACATTGACAGAATACAAATTGTTTACAAATTCTCATGGACTATCATTCATGATCAGTCAGTATAAAAGGAATAACAAAACAAGTCTCAAAATCAGATTATTCAAAGGATATTTCTAAACAAAATCGGTTTACATTAAATACCACAAACAACAAAAACTAATAAATAACCAAGTTTTTGCAAAATAAATTATAGAGCCTTAATTCTTCAATAAGTCAAATTAAGAAATTTCTTAAAAATTAGAAATAATTTTTGACAAGGTATTGTCGCATCAAAATTTATGCTGAAAGTAATAAAGTAATTCTTGAAGGTTATTTATAGCTTTTAATATATTGTCAAAGAAAGGTCTAAGACTACCAAAGTAAGCTATTATATTAAGAAGATAAGGGAGATTTCAAACCAAAATAATTACCAAAAAAGCAATAACACCGATCAGAAGTAAACTCGGTGAAAGAGACAACAGAAAATCAAAGGGAGAAAGCAAAGTTAGAGAGAGAGAGAGAGAGAGAGAGAGAGAGAGAGAGAGAGAGAGAGGCGCGCG